CTGATGTTTGCTTCTCTGAAGTACATCTATTAAGGCTAAAGAGACTTCCTCCCAGACAAGCGGAAGGTGGAACATTCTGAGATTTACAGGAAATGGAAAAAAAAAAAATAGCTGCCTAGTTTCTTCTCCCTTTCTGATTCCTGTTCGAAACACTATTCGTGGGGAAGGGTCTCGGAGGGATCCTGGCTGCCATTCTCAGAGAGACTCTCTCTCATTCACACCAGCTCAGTCAACACAGAAAAAGACATTGGCCGAGGTCAGCGGACATGTTGTTTCACTTACAGATCAGGAAGAGAATCCCAGCTGCCAAGATTGCGCCCATAACAATCCACCATATTCTAGCTAAAGAAGGAGAAAAGATGGTTCCGATTAGACAGATGCTGAGTTCCCTGAAGCGGAGACGCTGAGCCAGTGGTGGCGAACCTATGGCATGCGTGCCAGAGGCGGCACTCAGTGCCCTCTCTGTGGGCACTCGCGCCATGCCTCGAAGATGGCAACTGTCCCTCTTCAACCAGCTGCCTGCTAACTCGCCGAGGTCCCACGTGGCTGGATGCATCCCAGCACGGCTGTTTCCCTCCCCCCCGTCCCATCCCTCCTGGCCTCGCACGCTCTCCTTTTCCCGGGCACGACCCACTGCATCGCCTCCTCAGCTGTCGGCCGGCCATCCAGCTCAGAGCTGGCTTCTTTGAACGGCTGATGGCGCGCTGCAGCTCGCTGGCCTCTGTGTGCGGGGGGCCGATGGTGTCAGGCAGCCGCCGCCCCGGCCCTTGCCTTGCCCTATGGCAATGGCACCCCCGCCCTGCCTCACCTCACCCCTCAGGATGAGTCTCCTGCCTACCGCCCCACATGCCAGAGACCCCCTGGATCTCCCCCAACCCTGCCCACCCCCACAGGCGTCCCACGCCACGAGCAACATTGAGGTGACCACGCCCACCTTGGCCACATCCACCCAATCTGCCATGACCACCACAGCCACGCCCACCCAGTGGGCCACGCCCACCTGGCACCGGGCAATAAATAAGTGGGGTTTAGGTTGCAGTTTGGGCACTCAGTCTCTAAAAGGTTCGCCATCACTGCGCTGAGCAATGGAAGTCATTCCCAGGCTGAACCGGCCACCAGGAAGTGCCCCCACTTGAAGAAAGCCCTCCTCCCCTCCAAAGCTGCAGAGGGAGTAGTGAATGGCCTTGAAGGGCAGAAAGAAAAGCCACCACCCCATCATGCATCATTATCACATCATCTCATAGCACGTGTCATTTCTTCATACTTTTGCTGTTAAGTTACCACTTCCAACTCCCCTTAAAGAAATCGCTTCTCTCCTATCGCTGAATGTAGGACTGTATTCCCTGCTCTCTACCTGCAAACACGAGATGGTGCAGAGAAAACTAACTCCCTTCCTACCATTTCAAACACCGGTGGGGAAAAAAAATCGACTTCTACATGCCGCAGTGCTCTCAGCCTCTCACCTGTTTCCTCCTCCAAGGTCAAGACCAGGGGCTCCTGTAAGCCCTGGTGCTCCAGGCGACACCGGAAACTGTCCCTCTCCTTCGGGTCAATATCAATGCTGAGCCAGATATAATAGGTGCCGTCTGAGTTGGGGGCCACGTTCCTAGGGAGGGTCTCGTACTGGCAGGCCTCTCCGTCCCTGGTCCAGGTGGCCTGGATCTGCTTGGGGTAGAAGCCAAAGGCCTGGCAGATGAGGACCTCCAGACGGTCATCCACCTCCTTGCGAGTCACCTTCCCCACTGGGGGCTCTGCAGAAACAGCAACACCAGAGTAACGGGGATTTCGAGAATTTCCATCAATGTGACTTAATAACACGGAAGGGCTTCTCTTTGGTCATCCTCTCCCACTGTTCCCTCTCCTCTGAACCTGCGGGAGCCTCAAAGATGGGACACTGAAGCTCTTTAGATTCATTTCTGAAAGGGGTACATAGAAATCTCAATCACTGGAGATTTTTAAGAAGAGGCTAGACCAGGGGTAGGCAACCTTGGCTCTTTTATGACTCGTGGACTTCAACTCCCAGAATTCCTGAGCCAGCCACGCTGAGGGGAAAGGGAGAGGTTTCCAAGCTGAGCCATGCTGGCTCAGGAATTCTGGGAGTTGACGTCCACGAGTCATAAAAGAGCCAAGGTTGCCTACCCCTGGGCTAGACAGTCACTTGTCTCAGATGGTATAGGTTCTCCTGCTTAAGTGGGGGGGGGGGGCTGGACTAGAAGACCTCCCAGGTCCCTTCCAGCTCTATTCTATTCCTCTGCAATTTGGGGTAAGTCTCTCAAATGATAGCAGTGTTCCAATATCTCAAGGGCTGCCACAAAGAAGAGCGAATCAAGCTATTCTCCAAAGCGCCTGAAGGCAGGACAAGAAGCAACGGGTGGAAACTAATCAAGGAGAGAAGCAACCTAGAACTAAGGAGAAACTTCCTGACAGTTAGAACAATTAACCAGTGGAACAACCTACCTCCAGAAGCGGTGAATGCTCCAACACTGGAAGTTTTTAAGAAGAGACTGGACAGCCATTTGTCCGAAATGGTATAGGGCAGTGGTTCTCAACCTTTTTAATGCCACAACCCCAACCGGTTGTAAGTCGAGGACTAAACCGGTCGTAAGTCAAGGACTAAACCGGTCGTAAGTCGAGGACTAAACCGGTTGTAAGTCGAGGACTACCCAACCGGTTGTAAGTCGAGGACTTTCCCTGCCCGGGAGCGCCACGCATGCGTGGTTCCGCCCCCTGCGCCGGCCGAGGGGTAGTTGGCAAGCGGCAGAGACGGAGCAGGCCAACCACCAGCTGGCCCAGCCCAAGGGAGGTAAGGCACCCGCCGGAAAGGGGAAAAAAATGGCGGACCAAAAAAATGGCGGACAGCCTTGCTTGGCGACCCCCATGAAATGGTCGATCGACCCCAAATGGGGTCCCGACCCACAGGTTGAGAACCTCTGGTATAGGGTTTCCTGCCTGAGCAGGGGGTTGGACTTGATAACCTCCAAGGTCCCTTCCAACTTTTATTATTATTATTATTATTATTATTATTATTATTATTATTATTATTATTATTATTATTATTATTATTATTAAATTGACCAACATAGTTGCAATGTTTGGGGTCTGATTTAATTTTACAGTCTTCCCCCAATTGAATTTGTTCAAGTTGTTCTGGACAGAAATCAGGAATAGGCTATATTTTTCCCCCCTTCTGATCCAAACACGGGACATTCCTTTCTTCTTTGCAAGATTTTTCTCAGGAAAATAGAACAAGACATTTAGCATTAATTTCTTGCTCAGTTAATCTTTGAAGTCCTTATTTTTTGGGGGGGGGGCGGACATTAAAGATTATTTTCCTTCTGTAATGTGATGTGGGACGCCGCCTTTCTGCAAAGGGTGGCTTGGCTATGTACTGTAGGACAGAAATAACATGGGGAGGGGGGGAGTGTACAGAAATATGTTCAATGGAGACCCCCCCCCTTTTGCCACTCACCGATCCTCTGAGGAGCCTCATCCTTGCACGACTGGTACCTCTGCAGCCACTCAATGCAGGTCTCCTCCAGGTAGGTTTTTTTTCTCTGGGACCGCCCTGGATGAATCTCCCACTCCTCCTTGACCTTCTCGGCCTGGGGCTGAGCTGCCACCCATCTGAGGGTCTCCCTGTCGAAACTGATGAAGTCCATCCCGTCGTAGCCATAGTGCAAAAACCCTCCTTTGCTCTCATCTTCCATGAGCTCACAGCCCAAAGCCGCCTGCCAGGTGTGAGGCCCTGAAAGAGACCCAGAGGGGGGTGGGAATAGTCCAGAGTTCCTCTCCCCTGGACGCCCCACACTTGATTCAAATGTTTACTTCCATCCCACCAGCTGAAGCTGAAACTCAAACACTTTGCTGTGGATATAATTTATTTGGACTTCAGTAAGGCATTTGATAAAGTAGATCACAACCTACTACTTGATAAGATAGAAAAATGTGGGGTAGACAGCATCACCACCAGATGGATGTGGTCCTCAATGGAATTGCATCTACATGGAGGGAAGTGTGTAGTGGGGTGCCCCAGGGCTCTGTTCTGGGCCCAGTGCTCTTCAACATCTTCATCAACGATCTGGACAAGGGGATAGATGGGTAACTCATCAAATTTGCAGATGACACCAAGCTGGCAGGAATAGCCAACACTCCAGAAGACAGGCTTAGGATACAGGAGGACCTGAACAGACTTGAACACTGGGCGCTATCTAACTGGGTGCTATCTAACTGGGTGCTATCTAACAAAATGAAATTCAATGGTGAAAAAAGTAAGGTTCTACATTTAGGCAAGAAATGGGTGTGGCCAGAGTGGGTGCAGCCTAATGGGTGGGCGTGGATGGAGTGGGTATGGTCAACTGGGTGGGCATGGCCAGTTCTACATCATTCACATCAAGGGTGCCTATGGGGGGGCCTGGGCAGAAGTGGGATAGATCTGAGGGTCTCTGACAGAAGGGGGTGGGACCGGGGCAAGTGCCAAGGCATGGTCCACCGGGGCAAGTGCCAAGATGGCCACCACAAAATTGTACATTGGCTCCAGGCTGGCCTGGGCCAGGGCCAAGGCAGCGGGGGCCGTTCCCTCACTGTTTCCAGGATGGCTTTGCGGGCCACATGAAACCATTTCGTGGGCCGCATCTGGCCCCTGGCCCTTGTGTTTGACATGTCTGTTATAGGGGGCTGGACTAGATGACCTCCAAGGTCCCTTCCAACATCGGTCTGTGTAGAATGTCTAGTTTAGTGAGATAACTGGGGATCGGGGGGGAGTGGGGTGTCTTTCCTTTACAGGAAAGAAAAGCTCACCATTACGCCCCCATGCAGGCACTGGAGGCCAAAATTGGAACTGCTTCTGCTCACCTCCAGTCTGGTGGTCCAGTGTGGATAACGTCTCCAGGTCGATTCCAATCACCCACTCAAGGATCTGAAATGTCGTGTCCTCCTCCTCCACTTCCTCCATCCAGGGCACCAGAGGCTCCATCTTCCTGATGAGGCTATCATAGCGAGCAATGGGCTGGTCATCCAGGTAGCCCCTAATGGAGAAATGGGGCAGCCCCTGGCTGGGCTTTGGCAGATGCAGGTAGGAATAACACAGGGAGTTCGAAGGAGAGCCTGGAGAGGGAGGAAGGAGAAGGGAGAACTAGGGCGGGTCTGCACTGCGGCTCCATCCCCTTCAACATACAGTACACACACACACCCAAAAAAGTGGGTCACCCTCTTTTGGCTCTGCTTGGGAAGGTTCATGCCTGTAAACCCGAGCAGCGAGCCCCTAGTTGTAAGGACCCACTTCAATCTCTCTTCCCAAGAAAGCAGAACTCCTGGAACGGCATCATTCCAAAAGGAACGTTTATCGGGAGAAGCTGGCACTAGGCATAGAAGGCAGGAACTAAGGCCGTGGTGGCGAACCTATGGCACACGTGCCACAGGTGGCACACAGAACCCTCTCTGTGGGCACGCGCACCGTCGCCCCAGTCCTTCAGCTGGGTTTTATAAAACCTTTTCGCTTTAGGCCTCCGCCACTGTGTGCAAAAAAAAAAAAAGTTCAAGCAATCAATTTCAACTTCTCACAGGAAAAAAAATGATCTCGCAATTGATTGATTGAACTTTTTAGTCCCACCCAGTCTGCCGTTATAACCGAAGCCATGCCCACCCAATGGGCCACGCCCACCCAATGGGCCACGCATACCTGGCACCCGACAGTATATAAGTGGGTTTTGGGTTGCAGTTTGGGCACTCGGTCTCTAAAAGGTTCGCCATCACTGAATGAAGATCTTCCCGTGCAAAACAATAGTTTAAAAGAGTCATTCACACACCCCACCTCAACTGTCTGTGGTTTAAGATAAGATAGCCTTTATTGTCATTTTTATACTGTGGGCACAACGGCACACATCAAAAATGAAATTTAGTTGCCCACTCTCAAAGTGAAACACATACATGACGCACACCTAAACATACTATGAACAACATATGTATAGACCCACATCCCTACATATACATAGCAATAAATATTAAACACTGTCCATCTTGAATATATAACGGAAGGAGGAAGCTTGAGAGTTCGCAAGGTTAATGCTGTATGGAATGAAACTCTGGCTGAATCTGGATGTTCTGCTTCGGATACCACGAAGCCCCATCCTCCCAGAAGGTAACAAGGAAAACAGGTCGTGAAGAGGATGTGTAGTGTCCCAGATAATCTTACGGACCCTGACCAATCCACAAGTGTGAAGCGGTGGTGGGAAGCGGGACGATAAGGCGCAGCTTTCAGGGCTGTTTCTTCATGCCTCGACTTTCCCACACAGAGGAACAGCTGGCCAGGCCCACATCTGGTTAAGATGCTCCCGCAGCTGCCCTGGGCCCTCGGGATTCCCAGCCAGCTTCTTGTGGGCTTGACCCGGATCACAGCCCCCTCTTCTCCGCCTTGCCAACTGAGAAGCAGTGTTCCAATATCTCAGGGGTTGCCATAAAGAAGAGGGAGTCAAGCTATTTTCCAAAGCGCCTGGAGGCAGGACAAGAAGCAACGGGTGGAAACTAATCAAGGAAAGAAGCAACCTAGAACTAAGGAGAAACTTCCTGACAGTGAGAACAATTAACCAGTGGAACAACCTGCCTCCAGAAGCGGTGAATGCTCCAACACTGGAAGTTTTTAAGAAGAGACTGGACAGCCATTTGTCAGAAATGGTATAGGGTTTCCTGCCTGAGCAGGGGGTTGGACTAGATGACCTTCAAGGTCCCTTCCAACTTTACTATCATTATTATTATATTATTATTATTAGAAGAGAGTCAGGAAGACCCTATTTGCTCGGAGGTTAAAAAGTCAGTTGGAGCCCCGACTGCTCCCCAGTCAGGCCGCCTTCCGAAGGGAGGAAGCGCCGAAATTCGAGAGTTCTGTTTTTACTTTCACTTTCCCTTTCCCCAGAAATACAAAGAGGATTCCAAACCAAGGCGAAGCTGGAGATCTGATTGTTCCCCAGGGAGAGCGAGGTTTGTTGATCAGGATGGGGCTGAATGGCAGGAACCCAGGTCCGTTGCCCGGACAAGAGGGGAGGGGGGGAGGGCAGTCCTGAAATTGAAAGCTTCTGTTCTGATTTTCACTTTCGGCACCCCCAGAAATAACAAAACGGAACGGATCCCAAATCAAGCACTAAAAGTGCTAAAACGAGGCTCGGTGAAGAGCTAAAGAAGGAAAAGGTTTCCTTTTGGGGGGGAAAAGAGCTCGGGACGGGAGTGTGTGGGGGGAATGGGGGAGAGAAAGACCCAGCCCGGGGCTCCCCCTTCCCTCCCCTCCCTTTCTGCTTCCCTCCCCACCTTCCCCAGCTCGCAAAGCCTTCCAGAAACTCACCGCAAAAGCGCCCCCGCCCGAAGGACGCCAGTACGACCCCCAAGAGCAAGAGGGGCGGCCGGGGCAGCGGCATCGTCCCCCCAACCCCGCGCGCCTACACCCGAAGATTTTACATTCAACCAAGGACACGCCTCTCTCCGCCCCGGCTCCGCCTCCCCGCGGTCCCCTCCCCAGCTCCGTTGAACTCCCCCTCCTCCGAGTCCGGGAAGAAGAGAGAGCGAGCAGCGCCGCTCTTTTCCACGTCTTGCGGGATTTTTTTTTGGGGGGGGGGGGTTCCTAGCGAGGCGTTGCTCACAACCCGGTTAAGCGTTCAAATGACCTGGTTACCCCTGTCGTGTGAACACAGCCACCTCCTCGCTCATTCTTCTCGTGAGGCTCTCCAATCGGTCCCCCCTTCGCCCCATAGGATTTTTTGGGGGGACCTTCAGGCAGAAAGTGGCGGCCGACGATCTGAAGGGGATGGCGGCATGTTTGGGCAGCATCAGGCTCGGGACCCCGCTGCTTCTCACCCCAGG